CTACAGCTGAGCATAATCGAACCCCTAGGCACGGCTTTTGAAAATGCCCAACAAATACCTAGAAACTATTTTTTCCAAAAATTGGTCGCTTAACAACAGAAATATCCGCAAGCTGCCGAGTGTGCGCTATGAGCAAACATAATCGGCAACCGATCAGACAAGAGATAGCGAAGACTCCGATACCATCATATGCCATTATAGGCAGACCTGGGTACGACGGTTGTTACAAAAGAGAGGGTGGTCCATAAGGACAACCTTAAGTAAACTTTTGTCCAAGCGTTCAAAAAAATAAATAAAATATTCTTTGAGTATTTTTTAATCAATACATTTTATTTTTACTTTAGGTTATCATATTTGACAATGGCAACTATGACCGAAGCGACACTGAGACTCAACGACTATTTAGATGTGACAATCTGGAACAGGAACAGATACATGGGACACACGACAAACTTGAGATCGCTTAAAATCTACATCGACAAGACATGGAAACTGATAAACAAACAACCGAAAGACCTAATGAAATAGCTACTAAAAACTGTCATCCAACACATAGCCACCTAATAGCCACTCTAAATGATGATCATAGGCAAGCACGTGGTATACATCTAATAGGCAGTGCCCTTAAGGTAATTGCAGGAACCCCAGATTTTGATGACTGGGAGCATATAAAGTTCAAACGGGGTCAGTTAATACATGCGGAAAATAGACAAATCGAGATCAACAACAAGTAAGAGGTTCTAGTCGGGAGCTCCCGACTAGGGGATACTCTGAACCCTCTTCTTCCAACATCAAATGCATATATATATTCTATTTTAGAAGCTATATGTCAAGTTTGGTGACTCTAGCTCTTATTATTTACCAAAATTGCCCAAAAAACAGGATATCAATTTCAATTTTTAATTTCGATTGCTTGGAAACGGAGTAAGTTATCGATTATCGGAAACAAACTCGATCTGCGCGGGAACTAGGAGCACGTACATCTAAAATTTCAAGTTTCTAGCTCTTATAGGTTCTGAGATCCTTGCGTTCATACATACGGACGGACGGACGGACGGTCGGACGGACGGACAGACAGACGGACATAGCTAGATCGACTCGGCCATTGATGCTGATCAAGAATATATATACTTTATGGGGTCGGAGATGCTTCCTTCTGCCTGTTACATACATTTTGATTTCGCACAAATACATTATACCCTTATACCCATTTTTAATGGGTTCAGGGTATACAAAAAAAATACTTTCCCCGGTAGGGCTCGAACTTGCGACAGACTGCACCACTGGGTATGCCTCTACTCAGCAGCCACACCAACAATTAAGTACTTATGATAAAAAAAAAAAAAGTCGCATTTACCATGCTGCTAAAATGCGAAGCAGTCGCGCATGAATGTGTGTGTGTGCATGTATACAGAAATACTTAAGGCTGCTTCCCATCCAATTGCGCAGTTGCATATAACTTTGTTTTTTTCCTAACCGATCTTTATGAAATTTTCTACAGTATATGTTATTGTACCATAGAATATTTTGTGTTTTCTGAAAAAGTCAATTGAATTTAAATTGTGGCTTAAATTGGTTGGCAATAAAAGTTGGGTATTAATTTGATTTATAGCTCTGCGGTGGTAGCGGCGAGGTGGCGATAGATATAAAATGAAAAATACTTGACATATATAGAATATTCTAGAAACAACATGTAATTTTTGGTGACTCTAGCTCTTATTATTTACCCAATTTGCTCAAAAAACAGGATGTCGATATCGATTTTTATCGATTGCTTGGAAACGGAGTAAGTTATCGATTATCGGAAACAAACTCGATCTGCGCAGGCACTAGGAGCACCTACATCTAAAATTTCCCTATTCTCTAGCTCTTATAGGTTCTGAGATCCTTGCGTTTATACATACGGACGGACGGACGCACGGACAGACAGACGGACATGGCTAGATCGACTCGGCTATTGCTGATCAAGAATATATATACTTTTTGGGATCGGAGATGCTTTCTTCTGCCTGTTACATACATTTGCATTTTACACAAATACAATATACGCTTTTTACCCATATTCAATGGGTTCAGGGTATAAAAAACCAGATGCTGAAGTTGAGCATTTTTATTCAACAACATTCTGGCGAATCATGGACAGCATTGACATAAACGAATTGTTAAATGAGCAGCTCACAAATATTAGCATAACAGACCGTTTGAAGAATCCAATATCAAAACTTTTCAAAATTCCGCATTTCTATATTTCTTGATCAAACACCTTAAGCCTAAATTAGCCTGTAAGGAAATTGATATATTTCCCGTTCAACATAATAATGAATTATTAGATTTAGAAGAAGGTAATATGGTGACCGATTGCGGAACAGAGACCTTCGCCGTGCGAGACTGCGCTGCCACTGTGAGCATCACTTTCTGCAAAAGATTGCAGAGGCATCGTGTGCCCAACATCTTTTATCAGAAACCGAGCCCATAACAACAATCGACGAGGGCGTCTTAATTATCAACAGCGCAACAGTTAAATTGGTGGACATCACTGGGAACAGTCGCATAGTCACAGGAACCTTCCTGGCCACTTACGGCGAACACCTCTTCCTGAACGGCACCCGGTATATCAATCACCGGGGCATCCTAAGAAAAAAGCCTGCCGTGTCCACGTCGGCTGTGGTTAACATCACCCTCTTCAGAGAGCATCTGAGCCTTCCATTCTTGCACGACCTAAGCCTGAAGAACCTTCCTCATATCGGGGATCTTAGATCGGAAATATCATCAAGACAAAGCAACCAATGTGAAATCTACCTAGGGAGGAGTTTACTCGCGTGAGACAATAAAAGCTGATAACGCAATTGGGCCGGATGCCGTTGCAACAGAGTTACAGACGAAAATTGACACAAGAGACGCCGACTCAGCATTCTGCCGGCTTGCCTGCCTGCAACGGCGGCTTCGCGTATTCATTTAAGTTCGTCTAAGTTTTAGTTTTAAATTTATTCTCAAACAGTTCAAAGAACTGCAGTCAAAAATGAATACGTTGTAATCTTAAATACAAATCGGTCTTGTTTAATTTACACTTCTTCGTGAAGTGCGATGCGTCTCAGTTCGATGTGTTAGCGGTGTTCTTCCAAAAGACACCGATGATCAGGAGCGACCCATAGCCTTCTTTTCAGCCAAGTTGAACAATCAGCAACGGAGCTATAGCGTCAGTGAAAAAGAGTACTTAGCGTCGATACTGGCCATGAAAAAGTTCAGACCGGATATAGAAGCGATGCTTTTCACATGCATCACTGACCACGCCAGCTTAAGCAGGAGATTAGCTCGTGTGTCATTGCAGCTGCAAGGCTACGATTTTACCATCGAGCATCGTAAAGGCAGTGAGAGCGTGGTAGCCGACACTCAATCGCGCAGTGTCGAAGCAGTGGGAAAGGTTCCAGAAGGTCTTCTCGAATTTGAGACTCCCGAGCTCGAGTCAGCGGAATATCAGGCGTTGCTCGAACAGGTACTTTCGGATCAGGACAAACTACCAGACCTGAAGATTAAGGGCGATTTGCTTTTTAAGCGCATGGGGTTCGCCCAAATAGAAGACGAGTTAGAAGGTACCAGGATGAAGCTGTGGCTGCTAAGCTCGTTGCCGGCTTACTAGCGAAGGCTCATGTAAAAGAGACGGCTGGCCCTGGGGGTGTCGCAAAATTAGTCAAGACCTTACGTCGGCAGTATTTCTGGCCCAGCATGGCTAGTCAGGTAAGGGACAGTGCGGGACCTGCAAGGAAATCAAGGCACCGAACTTCCGCATGCAAGTGGGTCCAGAAAAAGAGGTAGTGACGGAGCAACCATTCCAAAAACTGTGTATCGACTTTCTGGGAAAGTACTCACGTTCGAAGCAAGGACACGTGTGGACTTTCGTGTTAGTCGAACATTTTTCAAAATTCACTTTCTTTAAAGCGATGCGAGAGGCTACGGCTCTTAACGTAGTGGATTTTTTTGGTCATCGAGGTTTTCTATAAGTTTGGAGTACTCGAGGTCATTCACTCTGACAACGGACGACAGTTCATGTGAAGTACGTTCCAGAACATGATCTCAGCTTTCGGCATCTCGCATATTCGCACTGCAGTCTACACGCCACAGAGCAATGTTAGCGAGCGAGTTAATCGTACCGTGTTGTCGGTGATCCGGGCCTATCTAGAGCAAGATCTCCGCGAGTGGGAAATCTACCTTCCAGAAATAGATGTGTCCATACGCAATACCATACATTTAGACTTAAACGGTGCATGCTACAAATTGGCTCGTGGTTAGGGTCTCTGGGTCATCAGGAGATTTCTCATTTGCACCGACTACACAAAATACACCTGATTAGACAACGAGTATAAAGCCAAAGATACACCGGGCTTACGAAAGGAGTTATCGGCAGTATAACGGCCGAGCCCGAGTGTTTCAGGCGGAACCCGATCAAGAAGTCTACAGACACAACTACGTACTGAGCGATTTTGGGTAGGCTTTTAACGCCAAATTTGCAAGATTGTCCCTATAGACCAGAGTAGTGCGTCAAGGTGGCAATAACACTTAAATTACTCCTTTCCATCGCCCCTTACCACCCCCAAAAAGCTCGTTAGGTAGAATTAAGCGATTTAATAAATATCATATACCTGCTGCACGACTGATTATGGTGATATACTCGGTCTAAGTATTTGGGTGAGCACTTGTTCCTAAATCGGAGCAACGATTGCCTCATAATTGACTCTGGCCGTATTTTCATCACCTGTTCAGTTTAATGTGTTAAATAAATGTACTCTGTAAAAAATTAAATTTTAGAAATTAATATCAGGTCAATAATTACAAGCTTATACCAATAAATTTACACACCTGCTGGAGCTGAGAAGAAATGTTCTCTTGTATAAAATTATAAATATCAGAGTGAAGATACCCTGCAAAGAAAAATTTGCAATTAGAAATGTATATCAACTGTCTATAATTATAAGATAATGCAAAGAGTAATACCCACCTGTTAAAGTGAAGTTGAAGGGAATGTCCACTTGCACGAAGTTATGAAGACGAGATATTCTTTACAAAATATTGAAATTTTATAAATTAATGTCAACTGTACATAACAATAAGAGAACATAATAATTATACCCACTTGTTAAAGTGTAGGTAAAGCTAGCTGGAATAAAACCATAAATAGAAGTTTGAAGATATCCTGTGAAAATAGAAGGAGATAAGAGAGATTGCAATATTTACCAATTATAAAAAAATGCATTTAATTATACACACATATTGAAGGAAAACAATGTCCGGCTAAAAATATCCATTGATGGGGCGAGAGGCATGACAGCCGACACGGGCTGATGAAGGCCATCTCATGGCCAAAATCAGGGAGGCGAGATCAGGTGATCATCTCATGGTAGGGCGGGTACGCTGGGTCCGTAACCGGGACTCAATCTGGAAAACTAAAGTGGATCATGCGGTTGTTTACATTTATTGTTGTCACAGCTGTTTAGATTGTTCATTTGTAAGTAGTTCCGTCTGTTTAATGGTATCGATTTTGTGGTTCGTTTTGGATAGTTCGTTTTGGATAATTTGGAAAAAAACTGGATTTCGATATAGATTTTTATCGATTACTTGGAAACGGGGCAAGTTATCGATTATCGGCAACAACCTCGATCTGCGCAGGCACTAGGAGGACCTACATCAACATTTCAAGTCTCTCGCTCTTATAGGTTCTGATATCCATGCGTTCATACATACGGACAGACGCACAGACGGACTGACGGACAGACCGACAGACGGACATGGCTAGATCGACTCGGGTATTGATACTGATCAAGAATATACGCACTTTATGGGGTCGGAGATGCTTCCTTCTGCCTGTTACATACATTTACATTTTGCACAAATACAATATACCCTTTTTACCCATTTTCAATGGGTTAAGGGTATAAATAGCATTAAAAACGAAATATAAGCCCCAGCATTAGCTGAACAATTAAAAAGACAAACATAGAAAATTAAAACCCCAGCAATAGCTGAGCGAGTTAATCAACAAAACAAAACTCCGCAACTGCATCGGCTACCAGACCTTGAGGGTCCAGCTACTTTAAACAAACATGTAAGTGAGATGCTCATGTTTTTTCTTCACAATTCAAAACAGTAAATAAACGAGAATCAAAGGCTTTCTTCGGCACGCCGAAGATCTAATACCCTTGCAGACTGAACCTTTTCATAATGCTCATAGTGCTTTGCCCGTATTCAAAAAACACAGGGAAAATAGTAAATGCCGAGTTTGGTCAAGATATCCTGATAATCAAAAACTGTTTTTAATCAAAAACCTAGTTTCCGACCGATAGTTCCTATGGCATGTATAGTTGTCTGATGTAAATAAGATTTTGCGGAAATGAAGGGAGCATAGTGAAATCTTTAAATGCCGTGTTTAATCAAAATATCTTGAATGACAAAAAGTTTTCATACAACAACTTAATTTTCGACCGATCATTCCTATGGCAGCTATAGGATATAGTGTACCGATCTTAATAGGATTTTGCGTTTAAATGAGGAGCATAGTAAAACTAAAAAACTGCAAAATGAACAGTGAGCAGGTAGCACAGTTAGAAGCACAAATTAACCGACCCCTTTAACAACAAGCGCAAAGGTTTGAACAACAGATAGCTAGTATCGCAGCACAATTTAAAAGACTTAAGGGAACAACCCCGCCAATAGAGGCTTAACAGGAAATATAAATAGTGCCACATTAAATGCGAAGAACCCTTAGATATAATAAAGTCTATTCCCGAGTTTGACGGAAAACAAGAAAACTATGTCTCATGGAGATAGGCCGCGCCGCCTACAAAGTGTGTGAGCCATATGATGGCAATTCGAGACACTATCAAGCCGCGGGCATAATCCGCAGTAAAGTAAGCGGCTCAGCATATGCAGTACTTGGATATTAAGGAAGTCCTTGAGGAGGGCCGTTTTCCCAGCTGAACCCCAAGAGCTCCAACTCTGGTCCTATCCCAAGAAGCTGAGTCAAGCAACGAAAGAAGCATCTTTGCAGCCAACTTTACAAAGCACCTTAAAGAAAAACCCCAAAAGTCTAGTGGTCAAAAGAGCCAAAATTGGCGTCAAAACGATCAGCAGGAGAATGAGGGTAATTCTCAGAGGGAGAAATGGCAAAAGAGTCAGAACCAGAGCTTTCAGTCGCAGAAGCCACAAGGGCGTGGCCCTGAACCAATAGAAGTGGACTCTTCCTCCTTACATATAACCCCTTCCCGAGCTTGTGCATTGGAAGCCAGTCAATAGCCCATTCCAATTCAAACCAATCCATGGGCATTCAAAAATTGAGCAGAAATGCCTCATTGACCTCTTCAGTGTGAAATCAAACTTTTTCATGCTAGAATCATTAGACGATTTCGTCAGCATAGTCGGCCTTCATCTAACAGATTAACGCTCAAATAGATTTGACTAACAACATTATAAAACACGACCGAGGGACAGAAAAAATATAGTTCACAACATGCAACAAGTGAATCATTTCCAAATCAATGACGCGGATGTTCCCGACGCGGTCATACCCACTTACAATCAAATGATTGACCAAATGGCTAACGCCTTTGTAAAAGCGTCTGGTAACTGATTTTTGGAAGTTAAATAAAAAATTAACGGCGATAAATACTGTATCCCAAAAATTTCGACTATATTGTCAAACATGGGTGAGACCCAGTATTTCACAACACTGGACCTTAAATCTGGCTTCAACCAAATGGGACAAAGAAAAGACCGCTTTCTCTGTAAACACCGGGAAGTATGAGTTTTGCAGGCTCCCGTTTGGATTAAAAAACGCCCCTAGCATCTTCCAGAGGGCAATAGATGACGTCCTCAGGGACCAGATTGGGAAAACCTGTTACGACTATAAAGATGACGTAATAATTTTCTCCCCTAATAAAGAAGACCATATCAAGCACATTGAGTGGCTCTTGAAAAGCCAAAGAACAGTCCAAATTCTTCTAAAAGAGTGTGGAATGCACTCTGCAGAGGCGGAATCCACCAATCGGCCGACAAAAACATTTTTTTGCCATGCTTTATAGCGAGATTCGCCAGCATCGCAAGACCCCAACAGAGATTTTGAAAGGCAAAAATGGAAAAATAATCGCCAACCACTCGAGAAAGGTAAAACTTAGATTAACCCCAGACCAATTAGATGACTTCACCAGGCTTAAAGAGTTGCTAGCCTTCGAGGATGTGTTGTTATCACATCCCGATTTTAGAAAGCCGTTTGACCGCGTCAGGCTAAGGGCTCGGAGCAGTGCTGTCCCAGGGCGGTCACCCTATAACAATGATCTCGCGCACACTGCGAGACAATTAGATAAACTTTGCCACAAATGAGCGAAAACTCCTGGCCATTATGTGGGCATAGAAAAATCTCAGAAATTACTTAGAGAGTTAAAAATCTGGGCATCTATACAGATCACCAGCCGTTGGCATTTGCCGTATCGGATTCAAATCCGAGCGCTTAGATAAAACGCTGAAAAACCTTTGTTGACGAACACAACGCAAACATAATTTATAAGCCAGGCAAAGAAAAACCTGGTGGCACACGCCCTCTCTCGCCAAAATATCAACGCCTTGGAGGATTCAGCAGAGTCCATTGCTACTACAATCCACAGCGAAAAGTCTATAACTTACATAATCGAGACGACAGATAAGCCAGTCAACTGCTTACAAAACCAGATCATACTGGAAGAAAGCGCTATCCTTCAGCACAAGACTTATATCTTACTCAAGGCAAAAACTCGTCATGTCATACAGTTTTCCGATCGGAGCACACTGAAGCAAACTTTGCAATAAGTTGTAAACGCCAAGGTAACTAACGCAATATATTGCGAGCTTCCCTTTTTGGATTTTATTGAGCATAGACTGGTCAAAGAATTTCCCTCGACAACGTTCCGACATTCAAAACATTTTGTAATATACATCTGAGACACAACAGAACAGAGAGATATAGCTACAGCTGAGCATAATCGAACCCCTAGGCACGGCTTTTGAAAATGCCCAACAAATACCTAGAAACTATTTTTTCCAAAAATTGGTCGCTTAACAACAGAAATATCCGCAAGCTGCCGAGTGTGCGCTATGAGCAAACATAATCGGCAACCGATCAGACAAGAGATAGCGAAGACTCCGATACCATCATATGCCATTATAGGCAGACCTGGGTACGACGGTTGTTACAAAAGAGAGGGTGGTCCATAAGGACAACCTTAAGTAAACTTTTGTCCAAGCGTTCAAAAAAATAAATAAAATATTCTTTGAGTATTTTTTAATCAATACATTTTATTTTTACTTTAGGTTATCATATTTGACAATGGCAACTATGACCGAAGCGACACTGAGACTCAACGACTATTTAGATGTGACAATCTGGAACAGGAACAGATACATGGGACAAACGACAAACTTGAGATCGCTTAAAATCTACATCGGCAAGACATGGAAACTGATAAACAAACAACCGAAAGACCTAATGAAATAGCTACTAAAAACTGTCATCCAACACATAGCCACCTAATAGCCACTCTAAATGATGATCATAGGCAAGCACGTGGTATACATCTAATAGGCAGTGCCCTTAAGGTAATTGCAGGAACCCCAGACTTTGATGACTGGGAGCATATAAAGTTCAAACGGGGTCAGTTAATACATGCGGAAAATAGACAAATCGAGATCAACAACAAGTAAGAGGTTCTAGTCGGGAGCTCCCGACTAGGGGATACTCTGAACCCTCTTCTTCCAACATCAAATGCATATATATATTCTGTTTTAGAAGCTATATGTCAAGTTTGGTGACTCTAGCTCTTATTATTTACCAAAATTGCCCAAAAAACAGGATATCGATATCAATTTTTAATTTCGATTGCTTGGAAACGGAGTAAGTTATCGATTATCGGAAACAAACTCGATCTGCGCGGGAACTAGGAGCACGTACATCTAAAATTTCAGTTTCTAGCTCTTATAGGTTCTGAGATCCTTGCGTTCATACATACGGACGAACGGACGGACGGTCGGACGGACGGACAGACAGACGGACATAGCTAGATCGACTCGGCCATTGATGCTGATCAAGAATATATATACTTTATGGGGTCGGAGATGCTTCCTTCTGCCTGTTACATACATTTTGATTTCGCACAAATACATTATACCCTTATACCCATTTTTAATGGGTTCAGGGTATACAAAAAAATACTTTCCCCGGTAGGGCTCGAACTTGCGACAGACTGCACCACTGGGTATGCCTCTACTCAGCAGCCACACCAACAATTAAGTACTTATGATAAAAAAGTAACTAAAATAGCATTACAGAAAAAAGTCGCATTTACCATGCTGCTAAAATGCGAAGCAGTCGCGCATGAATGTGTGTGTGTGCATGTATACAGAAATACTT